CTGATGAGCCAGCAATGGCCATTCTCGAGTTTCATGTCTTGTCGGAATACTACTATATGATACAACTATTTTCAGACGTAGAAAAATCGATTAAACTTATGTGGAGCAGATTATCATACAACAGGCTGATTCATCAGCTATTGTGGGAACTTTTGTTAGTATCGTCCCTATTGGACATGTTTGTCCGGTGATTATTTACTTTACCTGCTCTGCAAAACTGAGATCGTACTAGAGGGTTTTGGAAGTTGGTCACTTGTTCGCGAGGAGAACGTTTTTCCGCCTTCTATTCAATTGCCTGGGCCTCGCATATTTTCGATCATTGAGAAAACTCCTATCACAGAAATCCGAAGAGCAACTGGCGAGCATACGTATACTTTCAATAAATTCTCATCAGGCCGTTGCATTTATATTGGAGGGAGGACATCAGGTGAACCCCAAGGAAGCCTTTAGGGTTATCTACAAGGTCCCACCAAACTACCCTAAGTCACTGGGTCAGCAGAAGCAACTGCTATCCGGTTGATAAAGCCGATTTTGTGCGCGCAAAATAATCTGCTCCAAGTTTAACGTGGCCAACGCCCATCTAGCTACCGGCATTTTTCCGAGCCTCCTCTCTCCGTTTCCTCCCCCTCTCCCTAATTGCCGCTTAATTAGCCGCCTGGACTAATTTGCTTTTAACGCTGAACATAATTTACGTACCATTTTACCTTTAACACTTTACCTCCCTCCCACATAAATGTAACGGCCTGATGATAATTAATTTAAAGTATACGTATGCTTGCCAATTGCTCTTCGCATTGAGAAAACGCACTAAGTCCTATAGATCAAAACGTTAAAATAACCTTGCTTTGTATTATAAAAATGAACATTTTTCGACGGGGCTATTTGTGGTGTACAGTCGAACGATATTGCGATGCGAAAACACTTCACTAAAACAGTGACTCTAAAGTGATTTTAAGATTTGGGAGGCAGTGTAATATAAAAGGCATTTAGACATCCGAAACAGAAGTTAAACCGAAAACTCAGTGCGGAGCCTTGCGCCTTCTAGTGCAAAAACTGCATTTAAACGTTCTTTTATTTTTGCTGCTTTATTCACTCGGTTTTTGTGCATGAATCAACTACCTCTTCATTTAAAGCAAACCTTTCCAGTTGCTCCGATTTTTCACTTTTTCGAACTTTTCTGTTTTTCTTCAAACAATTACTTTTACTTAACCACGTAATATGGCTTTCCATGTTGTAAATGTAGCCGAAGCTGCGATATCGCCGTCTAACTATGCCTTGCGTGAGTCCCTAAGGAACAAAACGACAATAAGGATCAAAAGTAGAAGCAGAAGTATTTTTCCATACTTAGCACAAGGTACTTATAGCAAGCAAAGCATACAAGATTAGACCAATCAAATTCTGTTCTTGAGGGGTTGCATTCTAACTGATTGTCGGGCTGAACAGAGTGATAGCGCAGAACACTAATCATGGCCACCTGCTTGATCGATCTCATCATTCGCGCGACTTCTACCGATCGATAGTGCACCGTTAGATGAGTAATCAGAACAGCGTAAAAACTGATCCTTAGGCCTGCCCCTTACATGCTTAACCACAATATACCTTCCTTTTTATTAGGATCTTTATTTTTATACATTAAGACTTGGGGGAACGTAGCTTGGACTATTTTTGCGCACTATGGTTTTTATTGACTTCATCCGTTTTAACATCTATTAAAGTTGAGTGTGAGTTCTAACTTTGCTCGTTATGCATTGTATGATAGATAAAAAGTAAATACCTTAACATCAATGTGTTATTTCGAAACATTGCGCCAAATGCGCAGTTCTCTATGACATTTTTTTGCTTTTATACCAAGGCAGCTGATGAATATGTTCCTTGCAAGAAGACGCAAGTTCGAGAGTAACTGGTATTCTAGAATGCTGGACCTGCTACTGCGTCTGCGACAGTCAGTCGGTCGAACCCCAGCCTTCCTCCAATGGCGTAGAACCTGTCAGGTAGAAAACTCCTCCGCTCCGAGCGCCTCCCGTCAGACACACATGGGTCCTCAACTGAGGGTACCGAAAAGTTACCCCCAAAAGTACAAATACAGCCTTCCCTTCGCGCTTTACGGCGATCGATTTAATCAAAATCCAATAGCAGGACAGGAGCCGATTGGTCTACGACTACAGCCTATTGCCTTTGGAACACCCAAAGATGGTTTCTACATGGAGACGGAATATGTTTCTTGGTTAGTTACCATCAGAATATTTTTTGCTATGTTTTGCCCGAGATGTAATACTGGAAAGCAAAAATAGGTGAAAATAAAAGAGGTCAGATATCAAAGGTGTTGCTAAAGCGAAGCCCACGGTTTTTATGAACTGAAGGCTGTGACATTAAAAAAAGCTATAAATGAAAACCATACATTTAAATCATTTCTTAATTTGCAGTCATTACTTACCACTTTTTATTATAAAAAGAACTTTTGCTTAAAATATTTCTCAAACGTATTGTCCTTATTTAATTACAATAACGTACAGGTGGACCTCTAAAAGCCGATACGTTTTCAGTCTTGTCAAGCTTTTGTCCAGTAATGCAGGTTCTGTTCGACGTTGATATCAAAAACTCAAAAATCATAAATCTATTAAGAGCACTAACCAAAAAAAATGCGTTTTGGAAATAAATTCTTATGAAGATGGCCATTTGGACCATAGTTAGAAATTCCTCAAAACAGCGAAAAATA